ACACACACACACACACACACACACACACACACACACACACACACACAGACATGGCACTCACTCATCAGAGTACATTGGGACCAAAGACATTTGGTTCAGTCTCTGAGCTGAGGGCAGGTGAGAGGCGCATGCTGTGCCCACCCTTCCTCTTCCAGGCCTGCTCCGTATAGTCCACAGGGGCCAGGAGGTTGGGGTAGTGCTGTGCTGGGGACGCGGTGTCACACAGGGATGGGACTCTTAAATGTCATCTTTCTTGTCACTTTGGCCAGGGCTGCCTACTTTCTGTTGTTCTAGCCTGCTGTAGGGCTCAAAAGCCGAGGACCCCAGTTTATAGCTGGCAGGCAAGTCCAGGAGCGGAGCTGTGGAAAAGCAGATGGCTGGCAGAGGGGGTGGCAGAGGGGACTCCACCGAGGCTGAGGGCATTGGATTGAGGCGTGGGCAGGAGTTCCTGGGGTCACCCAAGGAGGTGCCCCTGTGGCCGGTGGGAAGACCTGGAAGGCCAGGGGTCAGTGCCAGGAGGCTGGGAGCCCTGGGGACGGAGAGCAGCCGGCCCTGTTCCAGAAGCCGCAGAACATTGGAGGTGGCAAAGGCCTCGGAGGCAGAGGAGCATGCCCGCTTCTCCAGGTCTCTGCTCTGGTCCTTCTTCTGCTTGGTGCGTCGATTCTGGAACCAGACCTTTACCTTCGGGCAGAGGGCACAGGGATGACAGAGGAGAAAGGGGAGGGGCAGGAGGCAGAGCCAAGAGAAAAGGAGAGGAAGGTCAGAGGTGGAGTGGGGTAAAAAGGCACAGGGGTGGGGAGGACGGGGCAGAAAGAAGAGCCGATCATTAGTGTCATCTCACAGCGGCCTGTACCCAGGAGCTGACTGGAGACCTTAAATCTCAAAATCCCTTCACCGTTCTGACTCTCGCCCACCTACAGGAAGAGTCTGCACTGCCTTAGGCCAAGCCATCTAGACTGAGACCCAAGCCAAGCAGCCAGCTGCTGCCAGCTGATTTATGTTCCTGGAGACAGGGCCTTGGGTACCCCAGACCGGCTCCGGATTTGCTGTGTACTTGAGGGTGACCTTGAACTTCTGAACTTCCTGCTGGGTCACAGTGCTGCCTCACAGGCCCTACCATCACTTCTGGTTGTAGGCCTTGCTAGGGATGCAGCCCAGGGCTCCGTGCATGCTGGACCAGCATTCTGTCAGCTGAACTCCACACCTAGCCCAGTGTCACATGAGCAGGGACAGCGTGTGGCAGAGGAAGAGCACGACAGCAGCCCAGAGGCCCTGAAGGGGAGGGCTGAGAGCCTTTCTCATTGTCTCCAGCTCTTAGCCACTTGACAAGGGCTCCACAGCCATGACTCCTGTGCTGGGAAAGCAGAGAGTCTCACGGGGAAAGAAACAAACCCACTCTGGCAGGGGAAGGACAATGAAAGGGGGTGTGGCCAATGTGGCGTGACCAAACTTGGAAGCTGTGTGCCCCACCATCCCCTTTCCTGGCCGAGTTCTGTGTGCAGACAGGGTGGGGGAGGAGGGCGTGGGCTGTAGACCCCCAGCAGGCAGGCCCTGGATGTGGGGAGAAGGCAAGGGCAGGTTGGGCTGGGGCTGGTCCTGGCGCTTCATTTGTCGTCACATGTGGATTCTTAAGCCTGGCTGCACACAAATTTCCTGTGTACATTCCACATCCTGGTGCCAGAGCTCATTTCAAGTTCTTTCTATCAGAGTTGAGTCAGGATGGAGGCTTCAGGATTTCTAGAAAACTCCCAGCGTGCTGCTGGAAGAGCACCCTCAACACCTGTGCCTCTCTGTGCCCCTCCCCCACCAACCCCAGGGCCCCAGAGGCGAGTTTGAGTGCCCTAGACCATCCCTTCTCCTGTAAGAAGCCGTTGGTTGCTTCTGTCTCTTGTACTGATTCTTTCTGGCTCTGCTCTGTCACTCTTCCAGGGAACAATTGCTGGCTGACTCCTAAGGGCCAGGGCACTGTTCTGTGTTTCCTGGGCATCGCCTGCCTCTTCTGGGTGCCTTAGTGTTTGCTGAGGTTTTCTGCAGGTCGCCATCCTGGGCCTCTGGATCTCAAGGAGTTCTTGGTGGCTTCCTGTCCTGATATTTTGCTGGACCGCAAAGGCCCACAGCAGAGGAGGAGTGTGGTTCCCAGGGCTGGGAACCCACACACACACCCAGAATAACAACTTGGGCCTGAGGTTGGTGCTCAATTCTAAGGCTTGTTCATTTAAAAATAAAAATGCCATTAATAATTTAGGTATCAGACAAGAGCTCCTCCCTATGAAGCCTAGGCTGAGTTTGAACTCTGCATCCTTCTGCCTCAACTTCCTGAGTGCAGGGATGATAGGCAAGTACTAGACATTCTTCTTTCAAAGGGACCATGGGCTCATCAGTATCTGGATGTCCGAGTCTGGAAGGTGGCTTTGGTTTTGTTCCTGTGTGGTCAGCTGTTCTGGACTCCTGGGTCAGGGCCAATGCTCTGGCACTGAAGACCGTTGATGAGGAGCCAGAGCAACGCGTGCTTAAGCTAATTGGTGACTCTGTCTGCACTAGGGCTTGGCTTGTCCTTAGCCCATCTGTTGGCCAGTTGCAGCAGAGGACTACTGAGTCAGCCTCTTGCCTTTCCTTCACTCTAAACCTCATCTTTTCTCATTTCTTCCCCTGGTTAGGTTTATGTAGGTGGTATGAGACAGTCTTCTGTAACTCAAACTGGATGACCTTGAACTTCTGACCCTCCTGCCTCCACTTCAGGAGTGCTGGGGTTACAGGAATACACCACCATGTCCACTTTATGCAGTGCTGGGGCTCGAACCGAGGGCTTCATGCATGCTGGGCCAGCACTCTAGCAACTGAGCCACACCCCTGGCCTGCATTCTGTTGTTAAAATGCCAGTCCTTCTTGGGGTTGAGGGGGGCAGGGTCTGGCTCTTCCTTTACCTCAGAGGAGCTCGGTCACCTTGAGATGAGGCAAAGGTGACAGAAGGCGAGAAAGGGCTGAAAGGGAGAAAGAGGTCCCCAGCCCAGCCTGGCAAGGGTTGTCTCTTTCCAAGATCCTTTGTTGTTTTTCTCTGGGCTCACCTTGGGTTGCTGAGGCTGGTCTCAAACTCCTGAGCTATAGTTCTATTGCCTCAGCCTCCTAAGAACCTGGGACTACAGGCTCCTGCATTGTGCCTGGAACTGCTTGGATTTTTTGCTCCCTGGACACCAGGCGATCACCACCCAGAGGCACCTCTTCCCAGACAGTATCGCTTGTGATGGCTTGAGTAAAAATGGCCAGCCAAGCGCAGAGGCGCACACCTGTACTCCCAGCACTCAGGGGGCACAGGCAGGCAGATCTCTGTGAGTTCAGGGCCAGCCTGCTCTACAGAGCGAGTCCAGGACAGTCAGGGCTACACAGAGAGACCCTGTTTTGAAAAACAAAAACAAACAAACAAAAAGGCTTATGTATTTGAGTGCCTCATCACCACAAAGTGTTACTATTGCAAGGATTAGAAGGATTGGGAGGTTTGGGCCTTGTTGGAGCAAGTGTGGCCTTGTGGGAGGAAGTGTGTCTCTAGGGGTGGGCTCTGGGGTTCCAAAAGCCCAAACCTGGCCCAGTGTTTGTCTCCGGTTGTGGAGCAGGATGTGGCTCTCAGCTGCTGCTGCAGTGTTGTGCCTGCCCCCATGCTCCCTGTCATGCTGATGATGGACTGGGCCTCTGAGACCGTAGCCATGTTTTTTATTTCTTTTACAGTGTTTTTTTTTTTTTTTTTTTTTTAATGTTTTACTTTTATGGTGTCTCTTCACATCGATAGAGCTGACTAAGACATCCCCTAAGTCACTCACTCCCTGACCTTGAATGTCCCCCATTTCTATGGCCTTTTCCATTTTCCTTAAATACGAATAATCCCTTGTATTGAAACTTGACTTTCTCCCCTCCCCTGTTCTCCTTTCTCATGTGTATGAACATGGGCACGTGTGAGCCACGGCCTGCGTGCGGAGGTCAGAGGGCCGTCTTGGGTGTTGGTCCTTGTCTTCCACCGTGCTGGAGACAGGGTCTCCTTAATTTTTCACTGTATTGCAAATGCCCATGGCAAGAGTGTCTCTGTCTCCCATTTCCACAGATTACAGATGCTCACATCCAGCTTTTAATGTGTGTTCTGGGGATATGAACTCAGATCTTTAACCACAGATCCTTCTCCCATTTCTCTCCGTTCATCCATTTGCTCCTTTCTTCCTTGTCTTTTAATCTTTGTTTGCTTTGAGGTAGGTTCTCACTGGACCAGGATGTAGCCCTGGCTGGCTTCCAACTCTTTATGCTGCCAGCATTCCTGAGTGCTAGGATTACAGGCAAGTCACCGCTGTCAGCCCAGCCCTCTTGTTAACACTATTGGCTCTCTCTTACCTGAAGCTCTGAGTTTTCCCCGTATGTGTATATGTTCCTTCCAAGCCTTGGCCTTTTCTGCGAGGCCCCATCTGCCGGGACCGGATGGTGGAACCTGGCTCTCACCTGGGTCTCGGAGAGGTTCAGCTGACGCGCCAGCTCCGTGCGCTCCCGGCCCACCACATACTGGCAGCGCTGGAACTCCGTCTCCAGGCGGTACAGCTGCTCCGCCGTGAAGGACGTGCGGGTCCTCTTGGGCCGGTCGAGGTCCAGGCCCTTGGGCAGGACAATTTCCCGGATGGTTCCCTTGGCATCTGCGAAGACCGTGAAGGGAGCCAGGTTACTTCATTAGCTGAGTTAGATCATCTGTGAAGCTTTTCTCCTCTTCTTCCTCCCTCTTCTTCACAGGGTTTCATGGTGTAGCCCAGGCTGACCTTGAACTCAAGGCCTGATAAGATCCTCTCAGGAATCCTTAGGTTTCAGCCTGAATACTTGATCTCAGAGAACTTGCTGAGCCTCTCTAAGCTGAGCTTCCTTAGTAGCCCCAAGCAGAGAGACATATGTAATGGGTATGGAGATAGGCATAGATGGATAGATAGAAGGATGATTGATAGATAGATGATAGATAGGTGATGAATAGATAGATAGATGATAGATATGAATGATAGATGATATATAGAAGATAGATAGAGATGATAGACATAGATGATAGAGATAGATAGACAGACAGACAGATAAGGAAGGAATGAGAGAGAAAGATGGAGAGGGAGAGAGGAGAGAAACACAGAGGAGGAGGAGGTGGGAAGAGGGATGGAAGGAGAAAAAGGGAGGAAGAGAAGGGGGTGGGGAGAGAGAGGGAAAGGGAGAGGGAGGGAGAGAAAGGAGTGCATATACCTCAATAAAAATGTCAGGCTAGCTATCATGGCCTTTGTGGAAAGTACTCACTATGGCTCATGAGGGTTCTGTTCTTTTTGCAGAGTTAGGAATAGTGGGGACAAAGCAGAAACAAGCCCTCAAGCCCGGAGAAGGTGGATTAGAAGTGTATGTGGTCAGTCATAGAAGGCTTCCTGGAGACACGGAGCCCTGATCCCTCCTGGGGTCCACAAGGAGGTTAGCTGATGTGCTTGCTATAGAGGGCAGAGATGGAGCTGGAAACTCTCAAAGGAGCCCACGGGCTGGTAGCACCCCGCCAGGCTGCTGGCTTATCCTCCATCCAGGGAACTATCCAACTCGCTGTGTCCTTGTACCGCTGAGACACCTCAGGCTTTAGGCCACTGTCTTTCACACACAGCATCTCTGGTGCTTTGGAGCCCAGGGTCACCACAAAGCACCCGCGAGCACTCACAAAGGGAAAATGCTTTACTGTAAGCTCCCGCTGCTGGTGTGAAATCTGTTAGCACAGGCAGTGAGCAGACAGTGGAATCCGGCAGCACTGTGCCCTGTGGGATCCATCGACCCACAACGGGAGAGGGGCTGCAGCCTGCAAAGTTTACACCACCTCAGGAGGCCATGGTGCTTTCCCGGCACCTGGGAAGTGGAAGCGGGAGGATCAGGAGTCCAAGGCCTGCCTTGGGGCGCCAGAGCCCCACCACCACCATCACCAGCATCACGCCCATCGCTGCTGCCACCCCCACCACTACAACAACAAAACAGGAAATCCCTGCAACACACCACCTCCTTCGAGGACGCTCACTTCCGCCAGGGGGCGCAAAGGCGGCTTTTGTATGTGCTGCGAAGCTACTAGTTTAACTGGCTTACGCGGAAGTCCTAAGCAGGGTGAGATGGGGCTATAGATACTGCTCAGCGGTAAGAAGCGATTACTGCTTTTGCAAAGAGCCTGCCCGCAGCACACGCCTGTAACTCCATCTTTGGGGTCTGCGCTCTCTGCTGGACTCATGGGCCTGCCTACACATGCGCACAGATGCCTCTGCAGACACACATGGTCAGAATGATCTTTAAAGATATGAAAGCAGGAGGGAGTCCGGAGGTGGGGGGGCTGACCGCGGCGAATCTAGTCACTTCATAGACATGTAAACAAACAACAATAACGACGGGGAAGCCCCCCCCCCCCCAGCCTGCTGTTAGCCTGGAGTCCCAGTGTCTCCACAGAGATGGAACTTCATTCCCCACCTGACAGATGAGAGGCAAGTTTTAAGTAACTTCCTGAAGGTCCCACTGTCAGCAAACTGGAGAAGCACTCTGCTTAAGCCAAGGCTGGTAGTATACTCCTGTAATCCACCCCGAGGGTGCTATTACCAGGAAGACTGCAAGTTCAAGGTTAGCCTAGGCTACAGAGTGAGAGCCACTCTCAACAAACAACAGCAACAAGCAGGATCTGGAGATGCAGCTCAATGGAGCACCTGCCCAGTGGGCTCAAGGCTCAACCCCAACAAGCAAACAGCAGCTGCCAATCACCCTTGCTTCACTTCGTGAACACGCTGGCTCAGCCTTAACATAGTGTTGACAGTCTCCGCAAAGACTTCAGCAATGAGTAAAGAGGAATCTTCTGGAAAAGCCCTGTGCTCCCTCGGAGAACACGGGACAGTGGATGGGGTTCGGGAGGCTGCCTGCAGCCCCAAAGGACTGTGGTCCTCCGTTTAGAATCTCTGCTGAAGACAAGTAGCGTCGGCCACTCTTTCCTGCTCCCATGCCATGACCTGACCTTGTGGTTCCTGTTCAGCCTTCAGGTTGTGCCCTGGTCCTGATCAGCCCTTCTTGTTCAGTCAGCCCTGGAAGCAGGTGAGTGGGGCTGGGGTTAGGACAGTGGAGGTGGGGTCAGAGAAGGTCATCTCTGCAGAGAAGGGACTGCCCCCTGCCCCCTGCCAGTGCAGGTCCCTCCCAGGCTCTCAGCTGAGGATTGTGATGGATGGAGGTGTTGCTATTAGGGTGTTGTTGGAACTGTGGGCCTCTTGGGACTGTATAGAGCCTCAGATCCAGTACTTTCCATATTCCAGAAGAGCAGAGCCATTGTGACAACCTTGTGGAGGGGCTGGATCCCCTGCTCAGCTCCCACCCTCACCAGCGGTGAGATGAGACCAAAGGTTTCCTGCCAACTCCCAGAGAGCCTGTCTGCAGAGGTGCAGGTCAGATCAGTGTGTCTGCAGGAACCGGCAGGAGGAAGGGTGACTATGCTGGTAGTGCAGGCTTCAAACCTTTCCTGGGAGCCTCGCCAGGCCACCCTGAAGCATGAAAACCATGAGGTCAAACCATACAGGTACATCTGCTGCCACCTCTGTGGGTGTCAGCTCTCTCCCTCAAGGCCGCTACACAGAAAGGCAACCCTTGACCCCCACCAGGCATCAGGCCACACACAGGAACACTAGTGCATCAGCAGTGTTAGGGAAGCAGGTTAGAGCCACAGTTAGGTTCACCTGTCAAAACAGAAATTACAAATGCTGTGGGAGGAGGGGAGAAAAGCACACACGCAGAGAGGAATGGCGGAAAGGAAGGAAAGAGGAAGAGAAAAGAGCTGGGAGTGCCAAAGGCTGCTGAGGATGTCAACACTGGATTCTGGTAAAATGGTTCAGCCACTCCGGAAGCTAGCCTGTGGTTACTGAGAGAGGTAAAGAAACAACTAGCAAATTTTTTATTTTTTATATATATATGAGTGTTTTGCTTGTATTCATGCACACATATGTGTGTTGGAGACCAGAAGAAGGTATTTGATCTCCTGGAACTGGAGTTATAGACGGTTGTGAGCCACCATGTAGGTGCTGGGACTCGAACCCAGGTCTTCTGGAAAAGCAGCCGGTGCTCTTAACTGCTGAGCTGTCTCTTCGGGACCTGTTTGTTTTGGGGTCTCATGATTCTAGGCTGTCTACAAGCTGTCTCTGTAGTTGAGGATGACCTTGAACTCCTAATCCACCTGCTGGGATTACATGCATATTCCACCATGCCTAGTTTGGTCGATGCTCTGAATTGAGCCCAGGGCTTCAAAGCATGACAGGCAAGCACTCTAGTAACTGAAGCACACCCCCGGCCCCCAGATTTCTTTAAATGGCCTCCAAAAGAAAATAAACAAATGTTTTTTTAGCAGGAGGCTGGTTGGAGAAACTGTTGAGCGTATTCAGGAGTGAATACGCTGAGGATGAAGCCAGGCCTGGAGAAAGCCATGGCTCAGTGGTTAGGAGCACTAGTTGCTCTTCAAGAAGACCTGGGCTCGACTCTCAGCCGCTCGTAATGGATCACAATCATTTGTAACTCGTTTTCATGGTATCTGATGTCTTCTGCTCTTCCCAGGCATGGAGTGTGCAGATATGGCTACAGGCAAAATACCTGTATACATAAAAAATAATACAACAGAAGCCAGCCCCCAGACGTCATGTACACACACTTCTGTTTACATAACATCAAAATGGCAAAATCATGAAGGTGGAGGGCAGGGCAGTGACTGCCAGGGACTGGGGCAGATGGGGGATCTGATCACATAAGGGGAACATTACAGAGACCTTTGTAGGCCAGGTGTGGTGGTGGGTGACATTAATTCCAGCCTTTAGGAGGCCGAAGTGGGTGAATCTCTGTGAGTGTGAGTTCAAGGACAGTCTGGATTACAATTCCAGGACGTCCGTCCAGGACTCTACAGTGAGACACTGACTCAGCAAGTAGGAAGGCTTGCTGCTCTTGCAGAGGACTTGGGGTTGGTTCCCAGCAGCCAGGTCAGGACTCCCAACTGCAGGGGATCTGCCCCTGACCTCTGAGGGCACCTGTGCGGGTGTCACACACAGGCACACATAGAATTAAAAATAAAATAAGTCTTTAAAAAAAATTCTTTTTGGTTTTTCAAGACAGGGTTTCTCTGTGTAGCCCTGGCTGTCCTGGACTCACATTGTAGACCAGGCTGGCCTCAGACTCACAGAGATCTGCCTGCCTCTGCCTCCCTGAGGGCTGGGATCACAGGTGTGTGCCACCATACCCAGCTTCTGAATTTTTTTAAGAAAGAAAAAAAAAAGCCATTTGTGGCAAGGTAACGGGTCTGTGTTTAAGTCATTTTTTGAAGCTACTGAGTGTGACAAGGCATCACAGGGCTGTCACCCACAGAGGAGTGACAGCACAAACGGATGGAGTTCAAGGACGGCCCAGCTTCTCAGACTATCCCGCTGACAATTTCCCATGCAATTTTCTTGTTTGCTTGTGTGTGTGTGTGTGTTTCTGAGACAAAAACTCCTGAATTCCAGGTTAACCTGGATCTCTCTATGTAGCCGGAGCTGGTCTTGAACTTTTGACCCTCCTTGCTTCTGCTTTCTGAGTGCTGGGATTACATGTGTGGCACACCAGGCCTGACTCTGTGCTCTGGCTTTGATAATGTGCTGTGGATGCTCCTGATGAGGGAAGCCAGCCTGGGGGTGGATACTCGAGATCTTTCCGTGCTGTTCTTACCGCCTCTTGATGGCCTATAAGGATTTTGAAATGAGAAGTTAACCACAACAAAAAGAAGCCACAAAACCAGAGTATTGCGTTGTCAGCAAACATGCAGTCGTGAATGGAGAGGGAGCACAGTAATGGCTCCTGTGTTTCTGTGTGGCCTGTGCCTGGGAAAAGATTTAAAACAGCACAGGAGAAACGCCTGCCATTTCAAAACTTAGTTAATGTCTACCAGAAAAACCTGACCCATGTGCAGATTACACTTCGATAAGAGTGTCTCCCAGGGGCTCAGATGTCTGGATATTTAGTCCCCAGTTGATGGCACTCTTTGGGTAAGTCTAGATGTGGCCACTGAGAATTCCCAGTACACGGAAGAGGGCATTAGAACTGGAATTACAGAGTTATGAGCTGGCATGTGGTGCTAAGAACCCAGGCTTCTGTTCTTAACCCATGAGCCAGTTCGAGGATACTCTCAGAACCTTATTTGTGATGAGCTTTCTTTTCTTTTTTTCTTTTTTTTTCCCCCCACTGGCTGACTTGGAACTCTCTATGTAGACCAGGCTGGCCTCAAACTGACAGAGATCGGCCTGCCTCTGCCTCCTAAGTACTGGGATTAAAAGCATGTGCCAACAAACCCAGCGCTGTTCATAGCTTCCTAAGCATATAGAACACAGGAGCCTGGAAGAGACACAAAGGATGCCTCTTAAGTGGAAGGAAAGCTTGTATGAGCAAAACACCGGGTCTCAAACATACAATAAACAGTTGGATGAAAATACTGTTTTGTAAAAATAGCTCAGGACCAAGAGGATTGCCCTACAGGCAGGACCTGAGCTGGAGCCCCAGCACCCAGGTAAAGCTGAGCAAGGTGGGTGTTTGTAATCCCAGCAGGAGTGGGAGCAGAGACAGATGGAGCTCCGGAGCTCACTGGCCAGTCAGCTACAGGCTTAGTGAGAGACTCTCAAAAAATACGGTGGAGGGGCTGGAGAGACTGCTCAGCAGTTAGCGTCTGCGGCTCCTGTGGAGAACCCCCAGCACCCATGGGGGCTCACAACCATGAGTAGCTGATTCTCGGGGCTCCAAAGCCCTCTCCAGCCTTCTGGGTTCTGTGCCCCGTGGTGTATATCTATCTGCAGGCACACACACACATCAGAACAATAACAACAATGACAACAGCACACGGAGAACACCTAATGTTGTCTTCTGGTCTCTACCTGTGCACTTAGGACACCCTCATACTCATATTAAAAACTCAAAA